GAGAGAGAGAGAGAGAGAGAGAGAGAGAGAGAGAGAGAGAGAGAGAGAGAACAAAACAGAGGAATGACAAACTTCACAGGGTTCTCAATTCTCACCGCTGGAGCAGACTACAGAGGAATGACAAACTTCACAGGGTTCTCAATTCTCACCGCTGGAGCAGACTGCTCTAGAATGACACGAGAGGTCAGTCCATGTTTGGGTTGCAGGAGATTTTGAGTTGAGGAGCAGCCGTTGCCTATGGTAAGTGGCCACCCTACAGACCGGACACAACCGGTTTGGGTGTGGACTCTGGAAAGCACCGCATCCAGCCCCTGTCTACAAATTGGACATGACATGTTAGGGTGTCGTACATGAGTGCAATGTTGACTGTCATCATATGTATGAAAGCAAGAACTCCCATGGACTATGCCTTCGTAATGCTCACGACACAAGGCATGCAAATGACATGCTAGCCGAATGTCAGGTGGGCCATCACAAAATGCCATTGAGCAAGTTTTGTGTGTGTGAGCAATATTTGACCGTTTCTTGATTTACGTGTCATCCTTCAAGCAGTGCCCATTTGAACCTGCGTTTTACAATTGCAATTTTAATTGTTAAGTCCGATGTTGTATCATTTGAATTTTAACCGGTATCATTCCAATTCTAAGTCCGATGTGGAACTGGGACAGAGCGCTGGAGTAGTTGTCTTTGGCAATGCAGGCGAACGATACTGGTGCTGATGACATGCTGATGTAGGAAATTGAAACTGGACCTGCTTCTGCGCAGTCTGCACTCTGCACAACAAATGACTGATCACTCGAGCAACTCATGAAGTGTTTGATTGCTTCTCTTTCAAGCTCAGGACTCTTGACATTAGGAGAAAGGAGGACCAAGGTGTGTGAGTAACCGCTTTGCCTGCTCGCATGAAACTCTGCATTTAGCCAATCTCATCGCTCAGGTGACATTTTGTGTGCCACAGGTCTGAGCGTTCTCACTGTTCCAAATGATATCATGGATATCGCTCAGGGTGATATCATCGCTCAGGTGACTCTGCCTTCTGCACTCAGGAAAAGCAGCAGAAAGGAGGACGGAGATGTGCGAGCACTGAGTGCATTCCCGGATATTGCTCAGGTGACTCTGCATTCTGCACAGTCTGTACTCAGCGCTCTCTGAGAACTTATTTCAGTGTTGTTGAAGTAGGCGGATATTCGCGCGCTATGGCATCTTTCTCTATGGCTGATCTCAGTGCAGCCTTTGTATTCAACTCGAGTTGGTCCATAGATGACATTTGTATGACCAATATGAGTGCTATGAGGACATTCCCAAGAGAAGAAGGGTGGGAGGAGGAAGAGGAAAAGGAGGAGGTGGAGGAAGCGGAATAAACAGAGGAGGAGGGATAGCATGTGGTGTCAGATGCATGCTGAATCTGTGGCGAGTCATCTCAGCATGTTGGCAAAGTGGAGGTCAATGCTGGTAATCAGGAAGGAGGAGGGTGGGAGGAGGAGGAGGAGGAGAAGGATGCCGAAGAGAACACGGATGCTTGATCTCAGCAAGGTGACAAAATTGAGGATTGACTATGGGAATGAGCTGGAGAAGGAGGGCAGGATGAGAATGTCAAGGAAATGGAGGAAAACTTGGAAAAGAAGATAAGGAGGAGGAGGAGGAGGAGGAGGAGGAGGAGGAGGAGGAGGAGGATGGATACAAACTGTGTGTGCTCTTAAGTTGGCAAGTTATGCAATAACCCACTCAGATATGCTATTGTCGTCGGCCAGGGGCCGCCCACAGGCCACAGCGAGGCTACGAAAAGGCCTTGTGCCCGAATGTATGGAACAAGCCCCCCCAAATGAGGCTTCAGAGGCCCTGGGCCCGACAGTTGACTGAAGAAAGTCAACAGTCAACCGCAGCTCGGGAATTGAGGCTCACGAGTCAAAGTCTGCACGGACCCAGTCAAGGCCACCGATCAGACGCACACACTTGGTTGTATGCAGGTATCCAGACAGAATCTGGTCCAAGTGGAGGTCTGCAACTGTACGCGATCCAGGCCATCGACTATGAGTCAATCTGGGCCCTCGTCCCTGGGAGACCAGAGGCTGGTCAATTGCATCAACACTGCTTATTGACCCAGCCCCTGTTGGTCAACATTCAGCCTTGCACTTGCTGCTCGACGCTGGCACGACGCTGGCTAGACACTGGCTTGATGCTGGCATTACGCTGGTATTGCGCGTGACGACGACGCAAGACTGCTGCATTGTGCACTGGTGCCTCTCTGCTCTTGGCGCCATCTGTTTACTTGATTGCTGACGTGGCGCTTGCCACGCTGTCTTCGACATTGCTGACGTGGCACTTGCCACACTGTCTTCGACTCAGATTGGGGAATCGATGAGGAGGGAGATCAGGGCTGTGAGGTTGGTTGTGTGAGGGAGAGAGGAAACTTACGTGTGATGATGTTGTCGACATTGCGCGCTGTTGTGACGCTTTCATGAGAGATCTGCGCCTACGTGGCACTATGCTGTGATCGGATCTTGTCAGGCTCGTCTGTGGGATACTGTTTACTGACGTGGACGAGGGGAGATGCCTGAAGGAGGAGTGGGTAGTGAGGGAGATCTATCTTTGATGACATTGATGGTTACTCTCTTCCACCCTCTAAGTCTTATCTCCCTCCTCTCAGCTTCGTCCTATGGTTACGAGACATTGTACTTCAGATCACATTTCATGATTATCAGAGACATTGATCAGCGCTGAGACATCTTGTATTTCGACACTTAACGAGTTTCTCTCCTGACTGGGTTCATTACAGTTATCTCAGCAATTCGGTGCAAAATTCGCCGAAAATAACACCCCTGGTTAACCGCTTGTGCTCAGCAAGGTAACAAATGGGAAGGGGGAGGAGGAGGAATTTGGGGAGTAAGAAGAGGACAAGGAGGGATAGAAAGTAGTGTCAGATGCATGTCCCTGATTTGGCATGCATATGAGCATGGTGACAAAGTGGAGGACTGATGACGGTAATGGGGGAACTATTTTGAGATACAAAAATGCACATGATGCTTCATCCTCGTGAGAACATGCAATTTTGCTGTTTCTCTGACATTCTGACGGATGGAAGTGAGTCGGGTGACAGGCAGTGGTATCAGAAGCATCTTTACTGATTTGGCAAGAGTTTTTCAGTGTGTCACAGCAAGGAGAAATCATAGTGAAACAACTGTAGAAAATTACTAGAAATGCACACAATGTGACAATGAATGATTCTTGCAGAAGTTCCTGTAACTGGTCTACTGTGCCCGAGGAAAACTGATGAAGAGGAAAACCGCCGATGAACGTGGGTGGACTGCTCCCGGATAGCTGAAGACACATTACGACGCCAGACTGGCGACCGGTAGAAACTGGTTGGGTCGCTATCGCCAGTTTCAATGTGCGCTTTGTAAACGGAAATTTTACAGTGCCACGTGCGCTTGGATTTCTACTCTTTACTCTTGTCTCTCATGTCATTTGATTTATCTCATGGTATGCTTATGTACGATTTAGCACTATTGTCTCACTTTGACACGCTGTTCTTTCGATGAAAGTGGGTGGACTGCTCCCGGTAACTCACTGCCTTCTGGATTGCTGATGTAGATGGCCCAGCTGTAACACAGAACAGATATGTGTGTGATCACGTTGTGATGCCTGCTGTGGTGAAGTCAATGGGCAGCAATAACCTTCTGAATTTCAGCATTTAAGTCTGCTGTCAATTTGCTGACCTCCGATGCGATCGGCTTGTAGTCTGTCTCACGATCCTTGGTATCTATATCTGATGGTCGACATTAACAAAAAGAATAGCAATAGCAGAATTTAATGAAGTCAAGGAGAAAATTCATAGTTGCAAAAGGTGCTGTATTGAAAGTCTTGTCAATTGGCAGTAAGTCTTCTGATGCATACCCTGAGGCTCAATGCACCAAGCATACATGGGGGAAGGGCAGGGGTTCTTTTCGTTGGTGGTAAGTGAGTCCATTGAGCACTATTGATTCGGAGGACTGTGGTGAAGTGGCTGAAGCTCATATCTTGGGGCATTTCTGCCTTGCATCGTGGGCTCCTACTGTCCTACCTTTTTGCTTTTCATGTTAAACCACCAGATCAGCCAAACGTTTTTTTTTTTTTTTTTTTTTTGCCCAAGGACGCCGCCTTTCTGATGGGGTGAGTGATGCGAGCATCTCCCCCTAGTAGATAGGTCGGGTGCTCCAGTCTATTGGTGGGGGAGAAAGACATAAGGGAAAGCAACATCAGCAGTGCTGGGGATCAGGCCCAGCATCCCTCTTGAAGATGCTCTGCACGGACAAGTACAGAGAGCACTGCATCCTCTTCTGGAATACATTTGGGAAGCAAACAGGACAGAGTAGTCAAGGAAGGAAAACTGCAGCTCCTCCGGGGGGCGACCGGAGTGGCCGTCTAACTCATTCTGACATGTCCCTCCCAAACCACCTCAACTCTACTAGATCTCCATCTTGAATGGGAAAGAGATCAGGAAATTCCGCAGGTGACTTCATTGGGGTGAAATCATCCAGTTCAGGAAGCGCGGATGGTAGTCCCTCAGCTGGTATATGCGGTAAGAGCATTTGGCCTTGGGAACGCGTTGGTGTCAAAAGCGCCAGGCCACTTTGAGAAGGCACAGTCAGAGGCTCGCAAGACTTGGAAGGCAGCTTAGTCAACTTAGGCTCGTGTGAACTGGCGGTTTAAGGAATCATTGTTTGAATTGGACAGGGAGTTCAGGAGCTCTGTTCATGAAGTGTGTAGGCGGCGCCGTGCGGATCTATCCCTGACACCTAATGACAGAGGCTCTGAGTCTAGGGAAGGGCTGACATGGGCTGTGTATTTCGGAGATATTACCCCACTGGCAGGGTTTCATAAGTAGGTCGTGTATAGGATGGGAAAATTGGGTCAATCAAGGGATACATGTGCTGTAAAAATCTTTACAGAGTCACTCAAAGACGTGGAAAGCTGATCGGATTTACAAGGCAAAGAATGACATGCCTAAGATTGCTTGTACCTCTGTACAGTCCGTAGACATACTGTCTGCATACGCCCGCTGCATGTGCGGTATGTGTTTTTTCGTGGTGGCAGATTTGTCTTGGGCATGTTTTTTCGGTGACGAGACGGATGGCAGACCTTCTCTTCTTCGATTCATTGGCTTTCCGGGCTCCTGAGGTTGGCGCTAACCTCTTTTGTTTTTGTTTTGAACGGCAGCACTGTGTGAGGCCACGATTCTAGAGTGTTGCCAACCTACAGTGTGCAGACTCTGTGAAGTTTTGCATCTGGTGTTGGCAGGCGATAGTCTACTAAGGATTGCTTCGACTTTCTTCCTGGAGATCAGGTATTCAGCTGAAGTCAGCTTTAATTTTCTTCAGCAAGACTACAGAGGGTCGTGGTTGATGCCCACCTGGAGCTGGGTCAACGTGGATTGAAAAAAAAAAAAGAGCCAACTACGTCTCGAACGAAAATGAGTTCCAAATAGACAAAAAAAAGGGAAAAAAAAAAGCAGATACCCACAGATCAGTGACGTGCAAAGTGCGAAAAAAACAGATAGCAGATCACTTTCTTTTTTTTTTTTTTTTTTTTTAATTTATAAACAGGGCCTTGTGGTCCTGGCTCCTTCCATTCTGGGGAGCGTCAGTCCGGTTCCTATTCCACCGGCAAGTCAAAATAAGCATTACATCAATAACACTCACATACGCTTCCTTCCGTCCGGCCGAAGGATCCCTGAGCAGCATTGATTGCTCCACCGTGGTGGAGGATTGACTGCCAGCTTGCCCTATCCCACTCTTTCCTCTCAGACCTAGGGTTCGGGTCTGCCAGATATCACTATTATCCCTAGAAAGAGGTCATCCGATAAACTTGAAGGCCTGTATCTGCCCCACTCTTCTCCCCACCCCTTTGGAAGATCTGTGGTTAACCCTACCCCCTAAACCCTTCGCCTGTTTCTGACCTCTAATTATCAAGTCCTTTCCCATTTTATATGTCCTCCATTTTATAAGACATCCCTAAAACCCTTAACCCTAAGCCCTCAACCTGTGAACCCATATTACAGCAGCCCTTTGGAACCGCCCTTTCCCCTTGTTTTGGTCTTATGGTACCGTCCGTCCAACTTTGTGCTGTCAATCCATAGCTGTAGCAGTTTTGGCTTGAGTTCCCGTGGAAATSTGATCTGTCTGTGAAAAGTGATTGATGCACCCGCCTTTAACCTCTGTTGGGAGCTCCTTTCTAGCACTGAGTTGTGGCYCCCTTTCCAGTAGATACAGTCCATTTATCTCTTGGCAGTCTTGCCGTATACACCACCAAGTCTTGTACAGCCTCAATCTCCCGTTCTTTCGCTGATCCTTGTCTTCTGCCGAGGCTTGCTTGACACCATTTCCTCTTCAAGATTCTGGTCCGGAGGTGCCTTGCCCTTGCGCAGTTAGTCCCTGCCCAATACTTCTTCCCGGGTTGGAGTTGTGCCAGTTCTTCCAGTAGATGTGGTCGTCTCGTAGATCAGCAACTTTCCCTCCTATCAACCATATCCTGATGAACTTCCGTCTCGCTTTCTTTCGCTGTTCCTCATCCTCTGACCATGATAATTTAATTTTCCGCCAACGGCATAGGATTTCCGCCTGTATCATTGCTTTCGTCTCCAGCCAAACCATCTCTCCTGAGTTGGACACTCCTTCGATTGTTCTGCTGCATCTTTCCTTCCGTATGATCCATAGTGTCACCTTCCTGATGAGTCCATACCAGTTCTTTTCCGCTTTCCGGAGTTGTTCGGGGATGTTAGTCAAAAGGAGAAGTTGGATGGGTTGTTCAGGGAAAGGAGTCGGGAAAAGAGAGTCCCATAGGGTCGAGGCTCTTGCCCAGAATTCTGTCGCTTCCCTACAGTGTATTAAGCAATGTACTATATCCTCTACCGCCCCTTCC